GTGGCAATATATGTATATCCGAACAAGTTAGTTGCAGTTCTTAAACTACAAATTCTATACTTATATTAATTTATGTTAAAATTATAATATCTTTATAAATCAGACCTCTTTAAAATAGACTTCTTACAAAATTAATTCATGGTAAAGGGAGAAGTACAAGTTAGTACCACAGAATACTTAGATGTATTTGAGAAGCACAGCTGCGCTTTGACAACAAAATCGCTATCAAAAATTGATTTTGATCGCTATTAGACATTGATTTTTAAGGAAGTGTATCTATGCATGCATATAGAGAGGAACAATACATGATCTACACCGTAAGAACTTTTAAGCTACGTGAATTGTAATATACTCCCGCTGCTTGCATCTCATCTATTTTAGTGCTATGTTTAAATGTTCATACGCCATGAAACCATTTAATAGTGCAATTATTACAATTGCAAAACTATTAACACCATAGGTATTCAATAGCAACGTATTTCGATGTTATTATTGCTTTTCCCTTGCATTAGCCGAACTAAACAACCAGTAGTAGTTTAATTGGCTAAGGCTTTGTTTTCTTTCCGCACTCTTCAAAACTTGCTTTACATCATCATTTCCAGCTAACTCTTTTGAAGTTTTACCACTCCTATCCCGCAAAAAAAAAGCATGTGCACGGTTTCTTAAAAAAGCCCTTATTATTTCTGCATAACCATTCTAGCAACCAAACATAAAGGGCTTCTTCATCATTTACAAATAACATTTGCTGGTATGCTAATAGAACATTTGTCATCTCTGTATAACCACCTAACTTCTATAAACCAAAATTTAAAGAAGCAAGAAGAAAGTGGTAGTTTACCAGTTAATAAACAAGGAGAAACTCAAATGAAATATTACACATAAGAANAGAAAAACTGTGGTAAAATATGTATATTTGAACAAGTTAGTTGCAATTCTTAAACTAAAAACTCCATAGTTATATTAATATATATTAAAATTATAATATCTTTATAAATTAGACCTCTTTAAAATAGACTTCTTGCAAAATCAATTCATGGTAAGAGGAGAAGTACAAGCGAGCACCGCAGAATACTTAGATGTATTTGAGAAGCACAGCTCCGCTTTGACAACAAAATCGCTATCAGAAATTGATTTTGAAAGAAGTGTAATCTATGCATGCCCACAGAGGAACAATACATGATCTACACCGTAAAAACTTCTAAGCTACGTGAGTTGTAATATACTCCCGCTGCTTGCGTCTCATCTATTTTAGTATTAGGTTTAGATGTTTCATACACCCTGAAACCAGCTAATAGTGCAATTATTGCAATTGCAAAAACTATTAACACCATAGGTATTGCAATAGTAATGTATTGCGATATTATAATTGCAACTGCTCCTTGAATTAACCCAACTAAACAACCAGTAGTAATACCCTTTATAATTGGGTTAAGGCTTTGTTTTCTTTCCGCCCTCTTCAAAACTTGCTTTACATCATCATTCTCAGCTAAGTCTCTTGAAGTTTGACCACTCTTATCCTGCAAAAAAGCATGTGCTCCGTTTCTTAACAGAGCCCTTATTATTTCTGTATAACCATTCCTAGCAGCCAAATGTAAAGGAGCTTCTTCATCTTTATTTACAACATTAACATTTGCTTTGTATGCTAATAGAACATTTATCACCTCTGTATAACCACTTCTAGCAGCCACATGTAAAGGAGTTTCATTATCTCTATCTATAGCATTAACATCTACCTTGTTTTTTAATAGAATATTTACTATCTCATTTAAATTTTTTTCCAATAGAATATTTACTACCTCTACATGGCCATTTCCAGCAGCTATATGTAAAGGAGTTGCTAAATTTTCATCTATAATATTAACACCTGCACCATTATCTAATAGAATCTCTACTACCTCTATATGACCTTTTCTGGCAGCCAAATGCAAAGGAGTTATTCTATATTTATCCATAGCACTAACTTCTGCACCTTCTGTCAGCAGAACCTCTATTATCTCCATATGATCATTTTCAACAGCTATATGTAAAGGAGTTTCGTGATTTTTATTTACAGCATTAACATTTGCACCTTCTGCCAATAAAATCTCTACTACCCCTATATGACCTCTTCCAACAGCTCCATGTAAAGGAGTTATTCCATATTTATCATCTACAGCATTAATTTCTGCATCTTTTGCTAATAGAGCCTCCACTACTGCTATATAACCACTTCTGGCAGCAAAATGTAAAGGAGTTGCTCCATACTTATCATCTGCAATACCAATATCTATTCCTTCTATTGCTAACAGAGCATTTATTACCTCCACTAGATTATAACAAACAGAAATATGTAGTAATGAGCATAGATTGTCCACATATCCATTTTTAAATGGAAATAAGTAATTGATATCAAATCCCCTCTCCTCCCACTCTATATATACATCTAGATATTTTTCCATTAATTTTTCTTTTATTTCATCAATAATATTGAAATTTCGAGCAGAATTTATTTCATCTACATCAGATTGACTTAAATCAAGAGCAGATTTTATTTCATTTAATATCCCTTGCCATTGTCTATAATGCATAATTCCCTCCAAATTAATACACATGTTGAAACTACAATATTTTTATAAAAAAATTAAATCACTAGACCTCTTTTGAACTCTATATCATTAAAATTTCCGAGTTATGTGGGTTGTAATGTACTCCTACTGTGTGCATTTCATTTACTTGAGTACTAGGTTGAGGTTTGTCACATTTGAAACTAACTACTACTGCAGTTATTACAGTTACTGCAACCATAACTGCACTACCTATAATCACCTCAGTGTAAGTTAAGTTATCATGTAACATTGCTAACACAAATGTTGTTATTAGAATAACCCCAGCACAAATTATTATAAGTGATGTAAAACATTTTCTTTCTTTTGACCCACCCAAAAGTTGCTTTATATCATCATTTAAAGTTAAGTCTCCTGGAGTTTTAGCATCCTTATCTTTCAATAAAGAATTTGCTCCGTTTTTTAACAGAACCCTTATTACCGCTATATGACCATTTCTAGCAGTCCAATGCAAAGGGGTTGCTTTATCTATATTTATAGCATTAACATTCGCTTTGTTTTTTAATAGAACATTTACCACCTCTATATGGTTATTTCTAGCAGCTGCATGTAAAGGAGTTTCTGCTTTTTTGTCCACAACATTAACTTCTGCTCCTTTTTTTAATAGAACCCCTACTACACTTACATGACCACTTTCAGCAGCTACATGTAAAGGCGTTATTCCATATTTATCATCCACAGCATTAATATCAGCACCCTTTAAGAACAAAATCTCTACTATCCCTGCATGACCACTTCTGGCAGCTAAGTGCAAAGGAGTTACTGCATTTTTATTCACAGCATTAACCCCTGCTCCATTTTTTAATAGAATCCTTACTATATTTGTATGACCATTTTCAGCAGCCCCATGTAAAGGAGTTTCTCCATACTTACTATCTACAATATTAATATCAGCACCATATGCTAACAGAGCTTTTACTATCTTCCATAGACCA